ATATATATATATATATATCAAAGGTAATTATACTGAAGAGAACATCGACTCATTAAAAGATACGAGTAGTAACGTGTCTACGAAAACTTCATCTATTTCAAATAAATCCATACAAAATCTGAAGGATGCTCTTGATCGTGCTACGGAAATAATACGTTTGACAACACCTTGTAAAATTTCTAATACCAAATTTGACTTGAATAATATACAACAAGGTGAAACTAAATTCGAAGAACCGTATGGAACAAGATGTAATGATAATCAAGAGTATAAAATTATCGAAACGTCCACATCAAACAATAATTTTTTGGGAATAAATGAAGTCAAAAGCAATGAAGTAAAAACTGATATCGAAAAAAGACATGAACAAATTTTTAATCAAGCTTTTATAAATAGTCAAACGTTCAGTTCCTCGACTACAACAAAAATATCTACAGAGTCTGAAACGTGGAATCAACAATCAGAACACTTGCAAAAAATAAATCAAAATAGAATATCTTCTACAAATAAGATTATGTCAACTCCGCAAAAAAATAAAGACGAGCGAGATTACGTTAACGTACGTCGTACTTTAAACGGTGTTATAATAAAGGATTCACCAAGAAGACGTTCTCTACCTGCAAGATTGAATAATTTGACAATGGTATATACTCCAAAGACTATTTCTAAAAAAGTAAGATAAACTTCACATATAAGTTATTACAATAAAATGGAAATTAAATATGAAATCGAATTTTATTTTCATTTTTGCAAATAAGCAGCTTTTTGTTATATACTAATGTAAATTATATTCATCTTTGTTGCAGAATGTACAAGGTAACCAATATATGACCGAGGACATATATATTGATGATGAATTCGGAAGTAAATTAAACTACAATCTGATCCTCTTAAATGACAATATTGTTTCAAGTGACGAAAGTTTACCTCAGACTACAGAATTATAAATTGTGTTGAATTCAACTTGTTAAATTGTTCACTATTTTGTAAAAAGAAAACATTCTTAAATAATTTATTTTTATTTATTCTGATGGTAAAATTGATGCTTTTACTTTAC